TTAGCAAAACATAACATAAAATGAATTTTCTAGTGCACGTTATTGAGAATATAACATACAACTAATAAGTTATTTTCATGAGGACATGCATGGAGCTTTTCATGAGTTAAACCAATGAAACCAAGGATTTTCTTTGCACCATATGTTATCTACTATTTTTGTCTCACAGGGTATGACCCTATCCCATTTGAGAATAAAGTTTTCCATGTCATAAACTATCAGCAAAAACATCATACATAATCTCTAATACAAAATATTTCACGGTCACACTAAACCATCTATATATCCTACCCAACCTATATTCTATTTCAAAACACAATTTCATATCACAATGTAGACAAACTCTAAACCCTAAACCCTAAAAATATATAATGCACTAACTCCCAATAAGCGCGTCCTACAACAACAATGGCGAATGGAGACTGGAACGCGAACTTGGCGACACACAAATATATTACAATGTAATATGCTTCAATGAGAGCAAGAGAATCAGAAAGATTGAAAATACAAAGAACGTACCTTTAGCTTAATGAAAGACGCAGACAGCGAGAATGAGAGCACAGAGAGCGGCAAAAAAGCGCAGACAGAAAGAGCGCGAGGTTGAAGAAAGTTGGGGGTAGGGTTTAAAAAATATATGACTTAAGATAGCGGTTGGCCAAATAACCACTCTTTAAAAGTATGACATTAGATAGCGGTTACTTCTGAACCGCTAATAAAACATACTTTAGAGAGCGGTTCACTCCTAACCGCTATCATATATGTATTTTTAACAGCGGTTTTTATTAACCGCTATCTAAAGTGTCGTCGTATAAACGGTTTACTCCTAACCCGTTTAGCCTACGCTCAACATTCACTCAAGCGAAATTTACATCGCTCGAGCGATGCCACTTGCAAAAAATTGGGATTCTCGGGTTGTATTTCGCTTGAGCGACACTATTCTCGCTTGAGCGATATCTGATTCAAACATGTGGTCACCCATGTTACATTATGCGGCTAACTTTGTTCGACGTTTGGCCTACGGTCAACATTCGCTCAAGCGAAATTTACATCGCTCGAGCGACGCGACCTGCAAAAAATTTTTATTCTCGGGTTGTATTTCGCTTGAGCGACACTATTCTCGCTCGAGCGATATCTGATTCAAACATGTGGTCACCCATGTTACATTATGTGGCTAACTTTGTTCGACGTTTGGCCAACGGTCAACATTATCTCAAGCGACATTTGCATTGCTCGAGCGACGCGACCTGCAAAAATTTTTTATTCTTCGCTTGAGCGACAATAATCTCGCTCGAGCGATATCTGATTAAAAAATGTGGTCACCCATGTTACATTATGCGACTAACTTTGTTCGATGTTTGGCCTACGGTCAACATTCGCGCAAGCGAACTTTACATCGCTCGAGCGACGCCACCTGCCAAAAATTTTGATTGTCGGGTTGTATTTCGCTTGAGCGACACTATTCTCGCTCGAGCGATATCTGATTCAAACATGTGCTCACCCATGTTACATTATGTGGCTAACTTTGTTCAACATATAGCCTACAGTCAACACCCGCTCAAGCGGGTTCTTGAGTCTCGGGTTCTGTTTCGTTGGAGCGACTAAAGTCTCGCTCAAGTGACACGTTATTGAAATATGTGGTGACCCATGTTATATTATGTGACTAATTGTGTTGCACATTTAGATTGCGGTCAACACTCGCTAAAGCAAAGCAATTCTCGCTCGAGCGACAACTTCTTCAAATATTTAGAGACATGGCAGTTTCATGTATGCACATGCTAATTTTATTGACTCCAACATATATCATTAATTGTCAATGACCAGTTTTGTTTATATGCAATGTATATGCTTACCTCCTTCAGATTATGTGGTTAATTATGATAGACATTTAGTCATGTTTTACTATTGGCTTAACCATATATCTGCTGACCACCTCAACTTTATGTGCTTAACTGAACATGACATTTTTGTGTTAATTATATGCTAAATTTGTATAGCCCACATTATATGCTTAACCACTTGACTATATATCATTAAATGCACATAAACATACATGATCAGTCGAACAACACATTGGAGGAAGATACAATGCTATCACTATGAGATAAAAAGTAATGTACAATATAACATTATCACAAGCCACAAAAATTACATCATAAAGGTCTGCATCAAATATAAATTACAATTACAACAAAACCTAACAAAATAATTCATCTACACAACACTTATGTCGCCTTTTTTCTTTTCCTTGAATTAGTCATCCACGGTGTTTTGACCATAAAACTTTTATACCTTATTCTTGGATGACCTTTAAGTCACGTATACATATTTGACCCTTCACAATGCAACTTTGATTCTTCTGTTGCTTCAACATGATGCTTCATCTCTTTAATACTACTACCTTCAAATACTGGAGAAAAGTACATCCCACATGATGGAGGATTTACTTCTTCTGTTGATAGTTTTGCTTCATCTAACAATTCGTGTAATTGTGTTACATCTTCCTCTAGTTTTTCAATTGTTGATTCCTGTTGTTTGGTTACGGCGATCAACATTTGATTCTCAGCAATAATTCCACACAACATATTAGTAAAATTTTTCACTTCTTCATATGCATAAGTGGTATGTCCTAATGCTTCTTTCACTATATCATGAGCAAACTCTTCATTTCCGACGCACAAGTCATGAATAACCTATGAGTAACAAACAATGTCAAATTGAAATCACATTTTGACATATGGTAAAGTAATATTGCAAACAAGTTCTACTAAATTTTTAATGAACTAACCCTATTATGATTAAACGCAACTACAATCTTGGTTTTTCCAATTACAACAGAGGTCCATTGTAAAAATCTCGGAAATCGACTTATCTCATTACATGATTTGGTATTATAAAGTACATGCTCCATAACCCATACCTGAATTCATATAAACAAAATGCACAATATCAAATCAGCTGACTATATTAAAAGTATTCTAACAAAATATATATCGTAATTTAAGATTTACCCGTAACAAAAACACACATCCTAGTACACGGAAGTGTGAACAATTTCTTCGTTTCTTCAAATAAATCGATGCTTCACATAAACTTCCAACCAGATATTCATATACTGCTTTTCCCCAATTATACTTTCCAAGACAAGATATATTATCTATTAACTTAAAAAAATCCACAATGTGCGATACCTACTTTATTAGGGAATAAAAACTCTGACAAACCTAAAAGTATGTACAACCTACAAAAGTCATTGACATCCTTATCATTTTGACGTTTAACAAGTTCATTAAAAATCATTTCCAAAGTAACATGTTTCCCAGTAAATAGTCTCCTAGTATGACAATCAATGTTTCCTTCTACAATGTTGACATTTTCGCCTACTACACAAAGTCCTAAACCTAAACACACATCTAACAAGTGTAAAACATACTATCTCGAGACCTTATATTAAATCCTCCTCTCTTTTCAACCCATCTACTTATTAATTCACTAAGCAATGTTCTACTAATTTTGACCTTTCTACCCAATGACATCAACCATTTAAATGGTGTTGCCTCAATACGACTTCTTTGCTCTGTAGTAAGAATGTTATTCACTTCACCCAAATAATTAGTCCCGCAAACATGTCGCAAATATACCTGAAAATCACATTAAATAATTATAATTATCATCAACAATATCCTATATTATATAAATAGATACAACATTCACCTTCTTAACATTTGAAGATCCATCGTCTATGCTTTCCATTTCAAACTGCAAATACATGTAACCCTATTTAATTTGAGTTCATAGTATAAAATTTATTTACTGTCATGACGTTTACTACAGGTCGAGCACATTCATACAAGTATTTCATGACAACAATCTGAGTATCATCTAACAATGAATATCATAAAAGTTATGTCAAAGCATATACTCATTTTCATTACTAAGGGTCAATAACATGCAGTAAGAAAAAGCCATATATCAACCCCAATATCCAATACAAAAATTTACTAATTCATAATGAACATTGTCAATTTCAATATAGAAATGTCCATGGCACTATACCCAATTGAAAGCTGATTACATTGTCAACATCTTCCAAAGTTGGGTTCTTGGCGACATCAGAAAGTACACCTTATCAGGTTTTTGTGCAAAAAAATATTACATGATTCTCTGCTACATCCAAACACACCAATTGAAAAATATTCACGCCAAATTAACAGTTTAATCTACTTCACACACAAATATGAGTACCAGAATGCACCTGAAAGTGTTGCTTGCTTTAGCTTTTTTCCATTGCAATATAACATTCAAGACAATTGAACTGTGAAAGAGTAGCAAAGGAAAAAGATATAGCAACGTCAACTTAGGAATAAAGTAATTATTTAAATTTATTTATGGATCCAACCCTAAGAAACAAGAAATTATACTTCCACAGGAATCCATGCTTTGGAACCCGAAGCATCCTTATTTCTACTGCATTGGACTCGCCGGGATATCCATGGGGGAGAGGACTATCCTCGCGCCGAATATGCTGCCGAGCGTGAACCGCATAGGGGATGACGGCGTGGTTGTTGACAACGGAACCACGTTGACGATGTTGCCAGAAAAATTGTACAATGCGGTGGTGAGTGAGTTCGACTGACAAGTTGAATAAGTTCACAACCGCGTGAGAAATGTCGAGGTCGACATCGAAGAAAGAATGAGAAAGTTTTGTGTTAGAAAAATAAGGATGGGAGAAGGAGGAGAAATGTGTCAAGAGAACACGTTAGTCTAATCACCTAAAGTTTTCCTGGTGAAAACAAGTTCACCATCACGTTTTCTGCGTTTAAGCGCTTAAAAAAACAGTGAGCAAGGGCAATATTGGAAAAGAAAACTCCTTTGTCAGCAACATCATCATTGCTGAGGTAACTTTCGGTTTGGAATCATTATCTCCCATTCAAGATTTCCCTGAAGTTTTTATTTATAAAATGAACTGAATTGAGACTCAAAAACCCAGTTGAGTAACAAAGATGGCACAGGTGAGGAACAAGCAAGTGCTTCTGCGGGACCATGTCACCGGTTTTCCAAAAGAATCCGACATGAACATTGTTGAAAGTACCATAACATTGAAGCTTCCACAAGGTTCCAATGATGTCCTGCTCAAAAATCTTTACTTGTCCTGTGACCCTTACATGAGGAATCTCATGAACAAACCTGAAGGACCCCCCAATAGTCGTGCGTACACTCCTGGATCCGTAAGTCTTTTTTTTTTTTTGTTGCTTCTGCAAATTATGTAATTTGATTCTTTAAAAAATATTGCTTTTACTTTTTGACTTTAAGAAATAAATGTTGCAAAAATATTGACTTGTGTTTGTGTGATTTGAAAGATGCAGTTGTTGGCACGTTGATGATACCGGAGACTGATTTGTGTAATTGAAAGGTTTAAATTAGTACGAGTAGTTAATACTTTCTTTGAGAATTATAAAGAATTGATGCATTTCAGGAAGTGGGTTTTGCAATTTGTGCTTAAAATTATTAACTTTGTGTGATGATTCTTTGAGTTTAGTTGCTATTCACACCATCAACCAATCAGAATTTGTGATAATTATGACTTTTAAGCTAACTGTTGTGAAAGCCAACAAGTTTATTGTATAAGGCAATTGTGAATTGAATGATACTGTAAAACCTCTTTATCTACTAATTTGCTCTTACTGTTTTAGTTTTTCATTTTACTTTTTGAATTCAGAGTGAAGTTAATCCAAGAACGTTCAAATGGAAAGTGAAATTGAGGGATATATCTTTGCTTCTAGTGATAATTGTTGAGTGATTGCAGCCATTAACAGGATATGGTGTGTCTAAAGTCTTGGAGTCTGGACACCCAGATTATAAGGAAGGTGATTTAGTGTGGAGCTTTACCAAGTGGGAAGAGTATAGCTTGTTACCCTCAGCTCAAATACTTTTCAAAATTGAGCACACTGATGTTCCACTCACCTACTACACTGGAATTCTTGGTATGTGTTCAGTAATTTCACTTTACACTGGATTCACCTATTACATTGTCAACTGCATGTTGCAATATATGGAAGTTTTGTCATTAATAGATACCCTTTTTTCAGTGGCGTGGCTTGATTTAATAATGCGTTTTCTTCTTCTTACCCAGGTATGCCAGGAGTGACTGCATACGCAGGTCTATTTGAAGTAGGCTCTCTCCAAAAAGGAGACAAAGTTTTTGTCTCAGCTGCATCTGGTGCAGTTGGTCAACTTGTTGGACAATTTGCTAAACTCAATGGTTGTTATGTAGTTGGAAGTGCTGGATCTAAAGAGAAGGTATTGTTGTAATTGTTGAAGCTAAATATACTTGCCATCCTGCATATATCACCATCACCTATTTCTTATTTGTTCTGTTGTTTGGAACACTACTTTTGCTTTCGGCACAAGAAATACTACCTTATGGTTCTATGCGTAAGTTCAGTTAAACTGTGGAATCCAAGTCACTTCCCTCATAAAAAAATGGAAGAAAGATTTTACAAAAACGACTTGTGTCACTGAATGAGATTAGTACTTGTTTTTCTCCTAAATTTCTGATAGAAACAGAATATGGTAAAGGATCATGGTGATCATATTGATTCTGCTTTATTAGAGAAAAATACTTAGTCCTTTTACTTGAACATTAATTTCTTTCATTATCAGGTGGATCTACTTACGAATAAATTTGGATTTGATGGAGGTTTTAATTACAAGGAAGAGCCTGACCTTGATGCAGCTTTGAAAAGGTCTATACTTTACAGATTCTAAAGAAATTTAGATCTCACTTTTCTATGCCCATCAAAAGTTTCAATTGCTGTGCCTATAGTGACTAGTGTATGCCAATCTACAAATCAGGCACTTTCCAGAAGGCATTGATGTCTACTTTGAGAATGTTGGAGGCAAGACACTCGATGCTGTACTCCTGAACATGAGACTCCACGGTCGCATACCTGTCTGTGGAATGATATCACAGTATAATCTTACTGAACATGAAGGTGTAACAAATTTGGCACAAATCATATATAAGAGGGTGCGTTTGCAAGGCTTTAACTTCATCGATTGGGTTCACCTATACCCCAAATTCTTGGAGTTTCTCCTGCCTAACATCAGAGAAGGGAAGGTTGTGTATGTGGAAGACATAGCTGAGGGTCTTGAGAATGGTCCTTCAGCTTTGGTTGGCCTTTTTAGTGGCCGCAATGTTGGAAAACAAGTGCTTGTTGTTTCTCATGAATAGAAAAGCATTTAGTTTTTGTGTTCACTGATAAGTTATCAGTTTTACTTTTGTGTTTTTTTGTTCAAAATCTAGCTCTCTTTATGTAACCTTTGCTGCATGATGATGCTCTCTGTTCTTAATTGTTCTGAGGGTAGTATCAATGTAATCTACAGTTGTTCATCTTGAATAAAAGCATTTGGTTTTTCTATATCTTGTTATGTTATCAGTTTTTCTCATGGTTTTTTGTTCATCATAATTTAACTACCTTTGCAATACCTTTGTAGTCATCTTCACTCAACTGTTTGATGATGTTTTCTGTTTGTGATTATCATCATGACAATATCAGTATAGTATATAGTTAAACATTGGATTAAATAACGTTTTGGTACCTACAAAACTGGCCTATATTGAAATTGGTATCTCCAAAAAAGGAGAAATTGCTCATTTTTTATTTGAAAAACCACTTATCAATTTCCACACAAGCACTAAAAACTGGGAAAAGTATTTTCATAAACTCAATAGATGCATGCTTGGTTAGCTCTTTATTTCTTTTTTTGTTAGTTTCTGAGATTTTTTTTTCTTTTTAAATGAGTTTATTTATCTTCTTAAAGTTATGAAATATCTTAAGTTTAGGTCCTTGGTGGGGTCAAACTTATCCCCAAAGATTGATGCAGAGCCTTAACCATGGATATCATTAGCTTGATCCTGGGACAAAGTGCTCCCAAAAAGCTATGCAATTTTGATATTTGTAAAGTGAGCATTAGCTTTTTCATCAGTCCTGAATGAACACTACAATAATATCAAAATCATCTACAAGATTTCATTCGATTACATAATTTCGGGACATTAATTCAGTTAAAACAACCACACCATGTCATATGAAATGAAATAAATAAATAAATATATACATGAATCTAAGGAATGTCTGGTTCCACATTTACGAAGTAAAAACTTAGAAATTCAAAGCATGTTTCTTTTTTTAAGTATAGTTTCTTGTATGAAGTGGAAATTTTAGGCAAGTCTTTTTTTAATATGATGCATTATCAATGAAATCAATAATAAAATATGTTCTCCATGATAAAACGACTGAGTGGTTTGTGTTAAAGTGCGAGATAACTTACCAATTAGTTAGTACATTGGTATGTTTTTTATATAAAAAAATTTACATTAATTTTAAAAAAATATATCTTTAAAATTTATATTTATTAATTAATATTTTTATTAGATAAATTAAAAATTATTATATTTATGCATTAAAATACCTAATTATAAATAATAATTTCTATTAATGTTTATAATTAAAATTATAATATTATAATATATTTAGTTACTTAATATAAAAAAATTAATATTTTTAATTATAATTAATTTTATTTTAAATATATAATTTTTTTTAAATGTTAGTTTGTCTTATCCTTGACAAGTTACACGATTAGACATGTCAAAATGAAAATAATCCAATTTATTATTCCTAAAAAAATAAATATTGATATTTATCATTGAACATGAATTTAATTCTTTTTTTTTAGGTTAAAGACTTTAATTTTTATTTTATATAACTTGTAAATTTTATGATATAAATATACAAGAAAATTATGATAAACACAACTTAAAAATAAGTATTACGAAAATTAACAAATTTATCTTCTTTTATTATTTGTTCCTAACGTTGAATGATTATTGATAACAACAGTTCGATCGTACAAAATACTTGATAAAAATTAATAAACAAGTTGCTAAATTAATGCAGTATAGTTAACCCGTGTCGAATCTCACAAAGACACAATTATAAGAACGTATTTATTACCATATATCATTCTCTCTAAAACATTAAATAAAGTATGAATGCAAGAGTGAAAGAGAAATAAATTGATGCAGAATTTAAATAACTAAAATTTATAAAATTAATACAAAGTGATTTTAATTAAAATTGCAAAAATCAAGAATTGCTTTAAAATAAAATAATGCGAGTAATTAAATTTGAAAAGAAAAGGGGGTTGTGTAATAATAAATAGTAAATTAACTAAAATAGAATTTAAATAAAACAATGAGAAAATAATTGATTTCCTAGTTCGAATGCAGTGTCACCTATCCTAGGTTACGAAATTAAATTGTTTTAACCATTATTCCAACCCGAAATTAATCAACTAAGCAAAGATTAACTCAGATTATCCTTATACAATTAAACATTGCATACATCACATAATCTCATTTAAGCAAATATTGGTTTTCGGTTTATTAAGCATATGTTGAACATTCAAGGACTTGATGTTGCACTTGATGAACATGAAGATTGTTGATTTTGATGATGATTCAAGAACTCAAAGACTTAGTGTGTTGAAGACTTGTTTTGTATTGTAATAACTCTGTTTTAATTAGATTGAGTCCGTAATATTAGAGTTTAAGATAGCCGGTACATAGTTCGCACCTTAGAAGCTTCAAAAAGCTCAAATTTATCATCCAGGCTCGGCTTTAATCGATTATATAGGGAAATAATCGATTAAAACAGTGAGAAAAACCATTTTCTGTATCAACTCACTGCTTTAATCGATTAAATCTCCAGATAATCGATTATCAGGTCTGATAATCGATTAAAACTCCTTTTAATCGATTAAAACAGAGAGGATTTGGGTTCTGTTGATTTTGGCTCTGTTTTAATCGATTATAACTTCTTTTAATCGATTATTTCAGTCTGTTTTTGATTTTAAACTTCAATCAACCCTATTTTCGAAAACCCTATTTCCAAGAACCCTAGTTTCAAAATTCCCAATTCCTAAACCCTAATTTCTCTACTTAAACTCTTCTATGGCACTCAGAAAAGAAGAACAACCTTTTCCATACAAAAGTTAAGTGTTGTGAGTGCCAGAGAACTGTTTGTTGCAAGGAAAGGGGGCTTTTGGAACCTGGTGTGGGCTAGAAGCGATAAGAATCACTAAGTGGAGTTCTTAGTGGATTGTGTGATGTGCCGTCTCTAGGGAAAGTTGTTCATCATCTCTTGTGGATTTCAAGAGAGGT